GCGCCATTGCGACTTATTCCCACTGTTTGCACACGAGACCTCCACCAACAGGTTCACAGCAGGCCCTACGAAATACAAATCATTTGAATGTACAGCAGCCCCCGTCGCAGCCGCAGCCGCCACGCACACAGAAGCGCAGCAGCACAACAGCGCGGGGGACAACAGGGCGCACACCTCACGGCGCAGTGCAGTCGCCGTCATCGCAGTGGTCATCATCCTTCCTAGAGTTGCTGGGGTCAGTCCGTTGATCTGCACACGGAGTGGGGAAGTGAAAGACAGAACAAGAGAGAGAGGGAGAGAGAGGCGCAGCATAGACACACGCGCAAAGAGAGCACACAGCATGGCAAGAGGCAGCCACAGCCCACAGACTGCGAGGCCGCACATACACACACACGCACACTGCCAGCAGTCACCCCACCATGGACAAGAAGGAGAGATCCACAACCTCATCCTCCTCCACCTCATTCTCACAGCCAACGGATATGGCCACGTCCCCGCAGCCAGCACAAGGCGCCCACACCCACACCACCAGCCACACGTGGAAGCGGATCCTCAGCCATCCACGACGCGGCGACATGAATTTACACTGCCATCCCGCCCTCAACGGGATGCCGCGCCTCACTCCATGCAGTCACACGAGGTGCACCACACCCACAGGAAAAGGAGAATCGGGCTGCGCACTCCCTCCCTCCTCCCTTCTCCACATGACCACGGAAGAAGACAGCCGCCGCCACACGCAACTGCAAGCATGCACCACAAAAGAAGTATTCAAATCCACTGCAATGTGCATCTTGTGTGCGTGTGTGGTTGTGTGTGCCTGCAGAAACACAAAGCAAAATATTAGAAAAAAGGGAGCGGAGTATGCGGAGAGACGCACAAAAATGTACAGCGGAGGTGCATGGCGGAAACAACAACTAGAAGACCGCTCAAACTCATGACTGCACTGCAGCCCGAGCAGCGGCAACCCACACAAGATTTATTTAAAACAAAGAAAACCATCCCCTTCATCCTATACAAACCCCATCGCACAAAATAATTATAAATGAAAAAGAAATCGTCCATTACTGTTCCGCACAAATTTGAAAATAAGAAAAATCGCCTGGCTGCCGTGTGGCCCCACCAAACTGTCTGCATATATTTTGCCCACAAAATAAAATTAAAAGATATTTAAATGTCTTTCAACCGTCCGACCCTCTGCTTGTCCGCACATCGTTTACATTTCACAGGGTCATCTGCGTGTTGCTGCTCTCCTCAGCCCTCTCATCGGCGCGTGAGGGCGGCCCGCAGAGCACAGTCACTCGTGTATGTGTGGGGACTGAGAGAAGCACGCAGACATGATGGGAGTCGCGTCACTCCATCGGGAGAGCGAGCACAGCAAAAGAAAACAAATCATCAGAGGGGAAAAGAAATGCTCACGAGGCCGACCATAAAAGAAATGCCGGCGCGTGAAATAAACACGCAAAGCACGAAAAAATTCCTCTGGATAGCGGCAGGGTGTGGCTGTGTGTGTGGCACCGCGGGTGTCTGCCAGCCCTGGCCGCAAAAGCAAACAAAACAAGAGGGAAGGAAATGTGTGCTCCGCCCCACCGGCCCTCGTCGCACGCCCACACGTCACGGCTCCCTCAGCGCGCCGTTCGTCGCGGCCCCTCCTCATGCGTGCAGCAGGCGAGGCGCACAGGGCCGTCGTCGTGAGCGTGTCGGTGGGTGTGCGAGTGGAGCAGTTGGGCGGGAAACACACGGCACCCCTCACAGGAAGAGCGCAGCAGGAAACAATTAAAAAGTAGAAGAGAAAAACCGTCCATGGTGGTTGCCCTAAAGCAACAAGTAAAAGAAGAGAAATAATTTGCAAGAAAACAAAAAGCAATACAATATAAAAAAGCAGCAGGAAATTTAAAAAGAAAACAAAAGAAGTTTGGGAGTCAAAAAAAACTCCCGGGGGGCGAAAAAAAAGAAAAGAAACATCTCTCAGCAAAAGTTTTCATTTCACGTGTCCCCAAAACACAGGGGAATGGGTGTGGGCGTACATTGCCCGCACAAAAATAAGCAATGAAGCATGAGAAAAGATCGCATTCCTCCACCAGCCCACACAACATCCCTCACATTCCATGCGGCATCCGGCCTGCTCCTCCACTCCTCGTTTGTGCAGTCCGTGGGACGCACAGCAGCGAGGCCGGCACCGCGTGTGGGTGGCAGAAGCAAACAAGAGGGAACTCGTCATTCACGACGGTGTACAGCAGCCAGACAGTGGAAAACAGAACATAGCAAAAGCACTTCCTAAATTGAGGTGGAGGATTTGCCCACAGGGCGTCAGGCAGAAAAAACACATATACAGGGGACGAGTCGTACCTTTCATCATTCTTGTGTGGCTGCTCCGCACCGCTGCCCAGCGGCACATGCAAGGGCGGTCAGCAGCAGCAGCAGTGGTGTGTGCACCCACGCAGTGGCGATGGCGCTGCTGTCCGACGTGCCGGGATCCTGCGCTCCGGTGGCGGCACTGTTGTTGGCCTCCCTCGTATATGTCGGGTTGCCGGACTGTGAGGCAGCACCGGCCGTGGCTGCACCGGAGGCCCCACCATTGCCGCTGGCGGGAGTGGCTGAGGGTGTTTGCGTCGTCCCGGATGCATCCGTTCTGCCAACCCCTTCGCCTGTTGGCAGCTGCGAAGTGTTACCGGGTTGTGGGTCCGCTGGGGCTATCCCCTGCTCAATAGTCTGTGCCGATGATGGGGCCCCACTCGCAGCTGAACTCGAACTGCCTGCAGTCTGCCCCGCTGCGGGTGCCTCCACTGCTGTCACTTGTGCTGCCGACGCTACTGCAGCGGCCTCTTGAGGTCCACCGTTAGCCTTCTCAGGTGCCTTTTCAACAGAAGTCTTTAACGGACAGACGCCTGGGGTGCTTCCCGCAGCAGGATTAGAAGACTTATTATATTCCAGCCACTTCTTGTACACACCACTGGCGTTACTCGTAGAATATTCCTTCGTAAACGCGGTTGCATCCGAATTAGATGAATTGCAGGATTCATTACATTTTGCAGCCGAGTACATCCGTTCGGCCGAGAGGCAAAGTGACTCACTGACAAGGCTGGGATCCTCACGTGACGAATCCAAAATAACAACAACAACTTCGTCAGATGTACCACTTACAGTGTATTCTTCACTGCCCACCTGAACAACATTATAGCTTACAGTCTCCTCCGCAACAACAGTGTAGCCTCCATTGTTCTCCTGATCAACATTGTAGTCATGAGCACCCTGTACGAGTGCACACTTATTCCAATTTGTCTGGCCGGGAAAGCGCCATTGCGACTTATTCCCACTGTTTGCACACGAGACCTCCACCAACAGGTTCACAGCAGGCCCTACGAAATACAAATCATTTGAATGTACAGCAGCCCCCGTCGCAGCCGCAGCCGCCACGCACACAGAAGCGCAGCAGCACAACAGCGCGAGGGACAACAGGGCGCACACCTCACGACGCAGTGCAGTCGCCGTCATCGCAGTGGTCATCATCCTTCCTAGAGTTGCTGGGGTCAGTCCGTTGATCTGCACACGGAGTGGGGAAGGGAAAGACAGAACAAGAGGGAGAGGAAGAGAGAGGCGCAGCATAGACACACGCGCAAAGAGAGCACACAGCATGGCAAGAGGCAGCCACAGCCCACACATTCCACAGAATGCGAGGCCGCACATACACACACACGCACACTGCCAGCAGTCACCCCACCATGGACAAGAAGGAGAGATCCACAACCTCATCCTCCTCCACCTCATTCTCACAGCCAACGGATATGGCCACGTCCCCGCAGCCAGCACAAGGCGCCCACACCCACACCACCAGCCACACGTGGAAGCGGATCCTCAGCCATCCACGACGCGGCGACATGAATTTACACTGCCATCCCGCCCTCAACGGGATGCCGCGCCTCACTCCATGCAGTCACACGAGGTGCACCACATCCACAGGAAAAGGAGAATCGGGCTGCGCACTCCCTCCCTCCTCCCTTCTCCACATGACCACGGAAGAAGACAGCCGCCGCCACACGCAACTGCAAGCATGCACCACAAAAGAAGTATTCAAATCCACTGCAATGTGCATCTTGTGTGCGTGTGTGGGTGTGTGTGCCTGCAGAAACACAAAGCA